TTGAGTTTTTTTATCTTGCTCCTCTAGCTCTTTCAATTTTGATGATAGGGTGTCAATTTTGGATCTCTCCACTCTTCTCATGTGGGCACTTATAGCTATATATTTTCCTCTAGAGACTGCTTTAAATGTGTCCCAGAGATTCTGGTATGTTGTATCTTCGTTCTCACTGGTTTTGAAGAACTTCTTTTTTTCTGCCTTCATTTCATTGTTTATCCAGTCAACATTCAAGAGTCAGTTGTTCAGTTTCCATGAAGCTGTGCGGTTCTGAGTTAGTTTCTGAATTCTAAGTTCTAACTTGATTGCAGTATGGTCTGAGAGACTGTTTGTTATTATTTCAGTTGTTTTGCATTTGCTGAGGAGTGATTTACTTCCAATTATGTGGTCAGTTTTCGAGTAGGTGTGATGTGGTGCTGAGAAGAATGTATATTTTGTGGATTTGGGGTGGAGAGTTCTGTAAATGTCTATCAGGTTTGCTTGTTCCAGGTCTGAGTTCAAGTCCTGGATATCCTTGTTAATTTTCTGTCTGGTTGATCTGTCTAATATTGACAGTAGAGTGTTAAAGTCTCCCACTATTATTGCATAGGAGTCTAAGTCTTTTTGTAAGTTGTTAAGAACTTGCCTTGTATATCTGGGTGCTCCTGTATTGGGTCCGTATATATTTAGGATCGTTAGCTCTTCTTGTTGTATTGATCTTTTTACCATTATGTAATGTCCTATTTTGTCTCTTTTGATCTTTGTTGCTTTAAAGTCTATTTTATCAGAGATGAGAATTGCAACTCCTGCTTTTTTTTGCTCTCCATTTGCTTGGTAAATCTTCCTCCATCCCTTTATTTTGAGCCTTTATGTATCCTTGCATGTGAGATGGGTTCCCTGGATACAGCACATCAATGGGTTTTGGCTTTTTATCCAGTTTGCCAGTCTGTGTCTTTTGATTGGTGCATTTAGCCCATTTACATTTAGGGTTAATATTGTTATGTGTAAATTTGATACTGCCATTTTGATGCTAGCTGACTGTTTTGCCCATTAGTTGATGCAGATTCTTCATTTTGTTGATGCTCTTTAGCATTTGGTATGTTTTTGGAATGTCTGGTACTGGTTGTTCCTTTCTATGTGTAGTGCCTCTTTCAGGAGCTCTTGTAAAGCAGGCCTGGTGGTGACAAAATCTCTGAGTACTTGGTTGTTTGCAAAGGATTTTATTTTTCCTTCACTTATGAAGCTCAGTTTGGCTGGATATGAAATTCTGGGTTGAAAGTTATTTTCTTTAAGGATGTTGAATATTGGCCCCCACTCTCTTCTGGCTTGTAGGGTTTCTGCCAAGAGATCTGCTGTGAGTCTGATGGGCTTCACTTTGTGGATAACCCGACCTTTCTTTCTGGCTGTCTTTAGCATTTTCTCCTTCATTTTAACCCTGGTGAATCTGATGATTATGTGCCTTGGGGTTGCTCTTCTTGAGGAATATCTTTGCGGTATTCTCTGTATTTCCTGGAGTTGAATATTGGCCTGCCTTGTTAGGTTGGGTAAATCTTCCTGGATAATACCCCGAAGGGTATTTTCCAGCTTGGATTCATTCTCTTCATCACATTCAGGTACACCTATCAAACGTAGATTAGGTCTCTTCATATAGTCCCACATTTCTTGGAGACTTTGTTCATTCCTTTTTGCACTTTTTTCTCTAATCTTGGCTTCTCTTTTTACTTCATTGAGTTGATCTTCGACTTCTGATATCCTTTCTTCTGCTTGGTCAATTCGGCTCTTGAAACTTGTGCATGCTTCGCAAAGTTCTCGTGTTGTGTTTTTCAGCTCCTTCAATTCACTCATATTCCTAAGTTGTCCATTCTTGTTATCATTTCCTCAAATCTTTTTTCAATGTTCTTAGTTTCTTTGCATTGAGTTAGAACATGTTTTTTTAGTTCACGGAAGTTTCTCATTACCCACTTTCTGAAGTCTGATTCTGTCATTTCATCACAGTCATTCTCCATCCAGCTTTGTTCCCTTGCTGGTGAGGAGTTGTGGTCCCTTGTAGGAGACGAGGTGTTCTGGTTTCAGGTGTTTTCTTCCTTTTTGCGCTGGTTTCTTCCCATCTTTGTGGATTCATCCACCTGTCGTCTAAGTAGTTGTTGATTTTCAGATTGGATCTCTGAGTGGACGTCCAGATTGTTGATGATGAAGTATTTCTGTTTCTTAGTTTTCCTTCTAACAGTCTGGCCCCTCTGCTGTAGGACTACTGAGGTCCACTCCAGGCCCTGCTTGCCTGGGGTACACCTGTAGCAGCTGCGGAACCGTGAGGGTTGCTACCCGTTTCTTCTTCTGCTATCTTTGTCCCTGCATGATGCCCACCAAATGTCAGTATGATCAGTCCTTTGTGAGGTGACTCTTTGGATATGCGGGGGTCAGAGAGCTGCTTGAGGAGACTGTCTATACTTTATAGGAGCTCAAGTGATGAGCTGTGAGCTCCATTGTTCATTCAGAGCTGCTAGGCAGATACGTTTAAGTTTGCTGCAGCAAAACTCATAAAGCCCCTTTTTTTCCTCAGGTGCTCTGTCCCAGGGTGTTAGGGCTTTATTTATGAGTATCCATTGCACTGTCCTGCCCAGCAAGGAGGCAGTCTAATCACTGCCTGCCTGTAGTGGTTATGCTGAACTGCCGTGGGCTCTGCCCTGTTGCTGTGAGCTCCACCCTGCTGCTGTGGGCTCTGCCCTGCTGCCATGTGTAATTCCCTGTAGTCCTGTTTATATGGGTGTGGTTAGAGCTGCCGTGGTGATGATGGCCTGCCTCTGTAGTGGCGTACTCTGTTATGGCGGGTTGCCTTGGCAATGGCGGGTTGCCTCAGCAATGGCAGTGTACCTCTGTAGGGGTCGAGTGCCTTGGTAATGGCAGATGCCCCTCTCCCTCAGAGCTGCACCGTCCTGGGTTCAGCTGTGCTTGGGTTCAGCTGTGCTTGCCGTGAAACTCTCAACCCTGAGCATTTCCAATTACTGTTTTGTTTTTGTGGGGGTGGGACTCGCCAAGCCTGATCACCTGGCTCCCTGCCTCAGAGCCCCCCCCTTCTTTTTTAAGTTGAATGGTTGACTCTCTCCCAGGTGTTCTGGTCGCCTGCTGAAAGGGCACCGGGATCTGTGTGATTTCACATGCAGCGACCCACTGCGCTGGCTGGAACAACGTTGCTGCCCAGGAATATCCTGGCCTGGCTTTCTGTTTAAGTCCCATTTAATCAGATGAATGTGCTAATCTGCCTTCTGAAATCTCCAATTGCCGGTTTAACAGGGCAACCAAACCAGTGAATTTTGTACAGAGTGCCATTGTGCTGTGGCCCCAGCCCAAATAGCCATGCTGGACCAAACAGCTGCGCTGGTGGCCCATGCGGCTCCTACACCTAGGAATCTCCTGGTCTGTAGGCAATAGAGATCTGTCTGGAAATGGCGTGCACTCACCATCTGTGGTTTCACTGGGAACTACAATCCTGAGTTGGTCCTACAGCACCATCTTCTTCCTCCAACACTGTAATCTTCTACAATTTAATTTCTTATGATGTGACTTAGGAGTTATGGGCAAGACATTCACACTTTGATGTCAAGAATTTTATATATCAGCAGCTCTAGTGCATGGCATACAAACACTAAATGCTTGATGAACAAAATCTAGTTTCCTGCCTTCCTATGGCTCAGGAGATTCAAAATATCAGAGAAGATGAATATTATCAAAACTTGTGGCCACCACTTAATAGCATGATCATCTGGAGAGACTAAAGGCTTTACCTGGGGCCAAGGCTGTAATGACCTACAATCAACAAATCTTACAGACTTGAAGCTGAGTCCGTGGTTAAATAAGCATGTAGATGACACTTTTCTATCTTTAAATGTGGTGGGGATGGGATGGGGGGTTGAAGTAAGCAAATTTAAATTCACTTTATAGTGAAACTAGCATCTAATCCTGGTGGCAAAACCTGGACACACTACTACACTCAAATTCTAAAATTAACAGCTGTGAGGCAGAGGTCTCAAACCAAGCATGAATAATCACCATTCTTTTCGTTTAAGTGGTTTTATTACTTAAGAAATTTGCCCATGATTAGTGTGATTGAAAATGCCACTTTAACTGCAGTTGTAAAGTTCCTCTTGATTCCTTATTGGAGTAAGAGACAGTTACTACTTTAAAAGACTTCATTATCCACAGCACTTTAAATGCCCAGAGAGTTTTATCCTCTCATAGAAGGCACACTCAAGAGCTTTTCTAGGAAGAAAACAAATGGAACCCAGAATGAATTAGCCCATTAGTAAAAGTTCCTGTTAGTCCCTTGCATAATGAACAAGAGTTCATGTTAGTTTCTTGCACCATGCATTCTAGGTAAGGGCAGCCTTTGAAGCCATATGGCCAGCAAAATCAGCATGCCAGTGTTTCTGCAGGATGATGAGAACATCACTGTGATAAGCTTTTCATCCAAGGTCTGAGTGGAGTGGCAGAAAAACTGTTCTGATCTATGCTGTCTCATTTCTAGATAATCCAAGCATAAAGCGTGGACTATCTCCTGTAAGTTACTCTTTGAACCTTATTATCTTATCCTATTCACCCCACGGAATTGCTTTTACAAAATTTATCTTGGGGGAGGGGTGTTTGTTATCAGCAGGTCCAAAACCAACTTACTGCATCCTGCTGTTGCAATGTCTAGTAAACTCCAGTTGAGGACATTACCCTAGGCTTCTGTCTTGTGAAGGCATGAGGTGACTGAGTGACAGAAAGGAGTCTGCTTTTCATGACTGACTTTGTCCTACTGTGAACAATAAAAATCAGCATCATGTGTGATTATTTTCTTCTCCATGAATGACCTTGTATCATTCTGAATTATTTTCACCTTAAATCCATTAATTGAAAGTTACTATTTTCAAAATACCGCTTAAATATCTCTTCTGCAACTTTAACAAGTACTCTAAAACTAGACCTGTTTTAAAAATAATACATTTTGTAAATGGAAAGAAATAGTAATACTAATTTTGAAAAGACTGTTGATGTCACTGTGATTTATTAAGTAAATACAAAGTATAGGCTCTTGCATTTTTTTAAAAGCAAAACCAAAGAGATTAGAAACCAAGTACACATATCCTCTTTAGAAGAGAAACATAACTCAGTTTTAAAATTAGGCACTTAAAAATGTAAATGAAAGATAACATTTTAGAAGTATAAACTATAGTTACACTCCTAAATTCCTCCTAAAATGTTTACAAACACAAAATCACAAGCATGAAAAACAAATTTCCTCTTTATCAGAAAAGAAACCTGAATTCAAATACAATATGATAAACCAATGATTAAGGTACTGGTGGGTAGGAGAAAAGAGCTTCTGAAATTTACACATTTGATTTAAATGTAAGCATTTCATAAAACTATCACAACAGCATACAGTAGATATCATAATGAAAAATATATGTCAGGAAAATAATGAATTCTAGACTTAAAATTTTACTTTACAACAAGGCACTTAACACATGGAAACAGTACAGTAAATTTCCAAAAGAATGCAATTGGCTACCTCTCAAATCTTGTAATAATATTTCTTTTTTGAATATACGGTAACATAACCATACATTTTGCAGCATTAATCATTGCATAGGAAGGAAATTAAATAATGAATTCCAACTTGGCAACTAGATTAGTTTATATTCATAGTTTCCTCTTTTCCTTTAAAGGACAGTTTTAAATAATTCCACAATAAAGTACTCTTCTCATTCAGGATTTATTTAGAACACAGCATATATTAATGAGTAATAAAATATATCAGAACTTATAAGGTGAATGAATATCTGTATAAAAACTTATCTTTGGGTACCATTGACATGATCTTCAGTGTTTGGGTGTTGAAGTCAAGAGCACTTCTTTTTTTTTTTTTTTTTTTTTTGAGATGGAGTTTCACTCTTATTACCCAGGCTGGAGTGCAATGGCGCAATCTCGGCTCACCACAACCTCTGCCTCCTGGGTTCAGGCAATTCTCCTGCCTCAGCCTCCTGAGTAGCTGGGATTACAGGCATGCGCCACCATGCCCAGCTCATTTTTTGTATTTTTAGTAGAGACGTGGTTTCACCATGTTTACCAGGATGGTCTTGATCTCTTGACCTCGTGATCCACCTGCCTCGGCCTCCCAAAGTTCTGGGTTTACAGGCGTGAGCCACCGCGCCCAGCGAGAGCACTTCTTAATGAAGAAATATTTTTAGCAACTGATTTAAAGGAGTTAAATTATTGCAACACAAGGACACTTAAAACAAAAATACCAAAAGTCTTTACATATATAAATAGAAAAGCCTTCAACACATGGCATCTAACTTATAATATGCTTGATTTAAACATGTAAACTCATTTATTAAGAGATTCCTTCTTACAGTTCCTTATATTACAGGGGCTAGTGTGTTAAGACTGGCTTAAAGTTTTTATCAGTTTTACAGTGCAAAACAAAAACAAAAAAGAATTAAGAAAAAAATGGTCAAACTATTTGAGGGGCAAGATGTGAACTTTCAATTAAAAAAAAAAAACCGCATGAGTTCTATCATGTAAAAAAAAACCAAGAACGAATTTGGTGTTTCAAAGTAAACAAAATATAGGTAGTTATAAAGGGAGACAGTAATGATTGTGATCATGAGAGGTAAAAATGTTCTACAAATTTTCTTTGATCAAATGAATAAAAGGTTAGAATTACAAGTTCTTAGATAATCTGAGCACATTTTTCCTTTGGGAAAGGTTTAAAATGCTTTTAAAATAATTCATTTCACATGAAAATTTCAGATTATTGGCAAACATAACAAAAATCAAATGCCTTTTAAAAACTTGAAAATATGTTTTTAAAAAGTGGTGTTTACGTTCCAAATCATAGAGTGTATTGCCACAAGGGGTCACTAGTAATACAGCAAAGAACCCTAATGCAGTATCACCCACAAACCACAGTAGATTCGATGCTCACTCTCAAAACAGCCTTCCTTCCCCACAGCAAAACTTGTTTCCCAAGATGGCAGTAAATTAAGTAACAAATTCACAATTAGTTTAAGTGGACTCAGGGAAGGATGCTTTATTTTCAGATCTAGTGGAGGAGCACAAAAACTAGAATCTGAAGGAACTTCATTTGAAAGCATTTACAAAAAAATGTGGTATACTTTATAGGAATTATATGTTATAGGTATTTCTCAGACAACCTAAATTACAGGAAAAGCTTCAAACAGGAGCACAGAGAGAAAAATCAAGGATAATATGTATCTTAATTGGCAAAGAACAGGTGCTCCAAACATTTACCCTTTCAAAGGCAAGATCATACTTGTTTCATATCCCAAAGTGGCACATTGGGTTGAAGCTCAAGTTTGCTTTCCTGCATGTAAATGGGTTTTACTATTTGTTTTATTTTTCCCCATCTTGAAATACTGACTCCCTCACCCTTATTTTCAAACCATGGATTTCAATGACATGGCAGCAGCATTGTCCACGCTGGCATCATAGGTGTCTTTAAAGTTCTTTAAAAGGTGATTTTTTAAATTAAAAAACTGGATTACTTGACTAAAATACAAGGCTTACTGTTTCAAGGGTGTGTAGTAATTGGTACACAACGGTTTTTTGAAATTAAGTTTAAACACTTTCCCTTATTCAATAGAAGAAAAATGGGTTATCCAGACACAGCTGAATAAGGCTCTAAGGTGTATCAGGTTGTTTTATTTGAATTAGAGGCTCAATGAAAATACCAGTGTTCAGAGAGCAAAACCCAGGCTTCTGTGTCAGATGATTTTCCTCATGATCGGGTGAGAGGAACTTAAAAATCAGTGTTTTCAAGCAGAACACCTTGTTCTCGCACAAGTGTTGCTATTTAATAAATGAACATAAGCAAACGTTATATAGAATTATGTCTAAACTCATCAGGTAAACTAGGTATGTGTTTATTATTGGTGTATTTGATAAGAAATACCAGAAAATTCCTTGTGCTTCAAAGCCTGCCAACGATGTTTAGGGTTTTAATTCTTGTTTAAAAGAACAGAATTAAAGAGTCTTGCTTCATGACTTTAAATTCAACTATCTTTTCTTTAGTGACTACTCTATGATACACAGAAAAAGCAATTCTGAAAACATACACAGGATTTTAGCACCGAAGGATGTTGACCCTTCTGAATGATTTGTATTGTGCTTTCTCAAGCAATTTAAAGGTCAATTTTGTGTAATAAAGGCTGACTAGTTTATAATGATAAATTTGGGGATGTTTTCCATTCTAAATGAAAGAAAAATTTCACCTTCAATATAAACATACTGCCTCCTTCTGCCCACACTGGCCTCTCTACCCTCTGCCCTAGTGTTAATAATTTTGTAAACTTAAAACTTTCTAAGGTTTCTAAAAGTCTTGCAAATTGACTTTTAGAAATGTAGTTAAGAAATGAAGCCAAGAATTGTTCAAAAGATCCAATAGCACTAAATAATGCACTAAATCTGATAACATAAGTCCGATCAATGTTTTAAAATCTATTTTTTGGCATCACCTTAAAGAGATTTAGAAACAGTTATCCCCCTTTACTGTGTAGCTGTAACTCACACACTGATTCTGAGGGTATATTATAGTGCAGCACCATGTTATCATTTTCACAGGGTCAAAGTAAAATTACTCAATTGTGGCATATGTCCCTAGCCCTAGTTTATGAGAAGCTGAGTCTCTTGCTAAAAGCAAGGACACATTAACTTTCAGGTTCCATCTTGGTTTTTCCATAAACCGCAAACATAAAAAGGAAGAAATCATGACCAAATATATTTCTGCATTCCGATTAGGAGCCCTAAAATTGATCTCACACCAGGGCCTGACCTGGAAGGGAAACAGGCTCATTTCCCACGTGGCATGAGCCTCAGTTGACACACACGTTTTCATCTGTGCTAGAAGAGCTGACTGCCCTGGGGTACCAGATCCAAATTTACAAGATGGACAGCATCTATGCATGTACTCAACGGCCAGTCATTAGCAGAAACAACCTCATGTTTCCTGTTTATCTGACATAGAGATTTTAAAGTGAAACATTTACACATACGTAAAATCTGTGGGGTGTGTCAAATACTTTCATGTTTACTTGGATCATCTTTCCTTTTTAAGATAAAATGTTCTGTTAAAAACAAAACAAAACAAAAAATTTAAAGTGCTGAACACTGGGTGGCAGCAGCAGTGTGCACTCCGGACACAATCCTAACTCTCCCCATGACAGGGTAGAAACAAAATTCACCCAAAGCTGACACACAACCCACCGATCTCCCCCTTGCTAAACCTAATGTTAAAAACCACTCTCAACATTAGGTTGTTCTATTTACACAGTGGCTGTAGATGTCCAGATATTTTATTTAAAATATTAACACATTCTTCTGATCTTGCGAGGAAAAATATCCTGAAAAAATTCTGAAGCAGAGGGTCTCAGTGGAGAAAGAATAAAGAAAGGAGGAATATGTTCTTTGGCACCTCTTTAACAAGCTCATTAGTAAAGTCCCAGGGTCGGGGCTTGTCACCAATGAATGAAGAGCTGCGAGAGAATGTATCTTTCTCAAGATGAAAAAGAAAACCAACCAGTCAGAGGGTAATACTTTGTTCATTTTTCTAATCATTTACACAATATTTGGTCCGTTTCTTCATTTACCAGTCCCTTCTCCTAAAATAAAACACAAAACTATACCTTTGGTAACAGCGTTAACTCTTTTGGTGTAAGAGCTGATGCCTTTGTTTTGCTCCTCAGGTAGATTTCTCATTGTCTTCACCAATCTTCTGAACCCGTGAATACTTTTTGCATGATGATTTGAAGCAGCCAGGAGGCCAAGACAGTGGCCAGGAGAAGCAGCAAGGAATTGAGCCTTGGACATTTTTCTCAAAAAAATAAAAGATGGGGAACCACCATGCTCGAGATAAGAAATTAGTCTGTGAAGAGACCTTCAAGTTCTGCAAATGGTAGACAAAAAAGTAAAATGAGTCATATCTCTCTTGATTTGCATCGTAATTCTTTTCTTAAATTGGCATTCACCGTATCCTAGGGAAAACCAGAATTCAGATCACATGGCAGTAATGATTTTCCTGTCCTTTCCCTAACTCTACCATGACTCTGGTCCCCTCATACACCTAGATATCTTTCCTTCCTTTGTGGCTCATGCAATTTCTTCTGCCTGCAATTCTAGTAAGAATGGAGACTCAGGGAATGGATGTCAAAATTATTCTGGTGGAGTAATTTTCAGGATGTGTGAGTGATCAAATCTAGGAGCCAAGCAAGTCAAGGAGTGAAAGAAAAGCTCAGAAAGTTGAACACATTTAAGAGGAAAGATAAAAATTTTGGTTCAGTAGTCATCATCTAGATGGAAGTGTAAGGAGGAAGATGGAAATAGCAGACTATAAAATAGGAAACAGAGCTACAAAGAGAAATAAAGTAATCCAGAGAAAGAGCATTTATTAGTGGACACCAAGAGTTAGATGTAGATTTGGAAATGCCATATTTCAATTGCTCACATATTCTCCAAATTGACAATATGGCAAGTCTATTCAAAGATAAGTAAGTCATGGTACACAGACCAAGACTAGGAGAAAACAGAGATGAGGAGGAATAATTCTGCCTTGGGACCAAGGAAGAGAACAAGAGTTAGAGAAGGCTTCCCAGAAGAGGTGGCATTTGAACTAGCTCTTTAAGTATGAATGGGAGAAGAAAGAAAAGCGTATCTGGAAACAAGGAAGCAGCAGAAGCAAATGAGGAAGAATCAGAAGGGAAGCCAGAGAGCACCATTATCACCAGAGGATATACGAAATCCAAATTCATAAGCTAATTATTTTGTGTGATTTTTAAAAAATAGCTGTTACTGGCTGGGTGCAGTGGCTCATGCCTGTAATCCTAGCACTTTGGGAGGCCAAGGCTGGAGGATCACTTGAGGTCGGGAGTTCAAGACCAGCCTGGCCAACATGGTGAAACCCTGTCTCTACTAAAAATACAAAACAAAAATTAGCCAGACATGGTGCCATGCACCTGTAATCCCAGCTATTTGCGAGGCTGAAGCACAAGAATCACTTGAACCTGGGAGGTGGAGGTTGCAGTGAGCCAAGATTGTGCCACTGTACTCTAGCCTGGGCAATAGAGCAAGACTCTTATCTCCAAAAAAAAAAAAAAAAAAAAACCCTGTTACCTTCTCCTTAAAATGAATTTAAGGCAGGAATTATGTCTTATTCAGTTGCACTACAATGCTTTTACAGAGAAGTTTCCTAAATTTTAATTTAGTACATATATTTCTTCAATTCTAGTTTAAATTACCTGAATTAGTAACACACTGTGCTCTATAAACTTATGGCATTTTTATCCATAAATGGCATTTACATTTGTGAAGTTCTTTGCTTTATTTTAAAAAACAGTCATGGATATATGTTTAAGTGAGTGGACCTAAGCCACACATTTGAGTGGCAATATCAATAATCCCCATTGAGCTATCTAAAACTCCACAACATAAAAAGGGTCCACTGCATTAAAAGAAAAGAAATTATCCAAGCATCTTCACTGCTCTCACCTTTTCATTGGCCATTGAATGGTACCACCAAAACAGCCGTGTTGTGATATAATAAGCAATGATCACATCGATAGTGTAGTGTTCATGTGCTACAAGAATGCAGATGATCCCGGCAGCACTCAGCAGCCAGCAGATTAAATGATACCACCAGAAGTGACGAGGCGAATCTGGACAGTAGAAAAATTAGAGTTAATAAGATTCCCAGAGATAAATTTAATGATTACAGTCTGTCCTAACAACCTTAAGTAGAATAACCCAGAATCAGGAAGTCACCAGAAGGAGAAAACTGATACCCTAAACTGAGTCACTACGAATTGCCCAGGATCTGCTCAGGTCAGAGGGAGGCAGAAGGGCTCCCTGGCAGCAAGTGTAATAGTCATTCACTGGGGAAGCTGGTAACATTAGATACTCTAGGCCTTGCCCATGTGAATGAGCTGCTTAATAAGAAAGGGAACAGAATTGTTTCTTATTAGGTTGGCAGAAATTGCTGTATACTGACTCACATAAGGGAGCCACTTTCCCACTGGAAAGAAGGATAGTAGGGGTCAAAAGAAGAGGTGGTTGTCTATGAAAATAGCGGGGTGGAAATAGGAAAGCAGGAGTAATTTCAGGTTTTAAATTTCTCCAGGGGTATATGTACGGTAAGCATGTTCAGGTCAGAATGAATGGTATTGTGGCTAGCAATATTTTGATTCTCAGCAATTTTACTCTGTTACTGCCAAGAGTAACTATAAAACATTCCCTCTGTAAAGGCTAAGATTCCTGACCATTCACTTATGGACCCAGCCTTCCTGGTAAGGCAGCTTAAAAATTCATTCTACTTACCAGGTGTAAAAGACAACTACGGCACTCACTGGTTTAAACAAGATGGTCCTCCCCTTCTCACAGATGTGTTAAATGACAAATATAATTGAAACCAGAGTTCATCTCTAATAACTTGATAATCTGTTTTATTTTAAAGCTGTATTAGCTCACAATAAAAGTCCAATAAGCTGAAATTGATTTCATATTTAACTATGTTTACATTCATAGTGATATTTACTTTCACATGTAGCAGGGAGATTGAATAGCAAAAGGATCCATTTCCAGAACTTATTTATTTATTTATTTATTTAGAGACAGAGTTTCACTCCTGTCACCCATGCTGGAGTACAATGTGTGATCTCAGCTCACTGCAACTTCTGCCTCCTGGGTTCAAATGATTCTCCTGCTTTAGCCTCCCAAATAGCTGGGATTACAGGGGTGCATTATGCCTGGCTAATTTTGTATTATTACTAGAGAGAGGGTTTCACCATGTTGGCCAGGCTGGTCTTGAACTCCTGACCTCAGGTGACCTGCCTGCCTTGGCCTCCCAAAGTGCTGGGATTACAGGCATGGGCCATTGCACCCGGCCCATTTCAAGAACTTTAAATGAAATACCAAATCAGGTATCATTCAAATATAATTTTTTGCTAAAATTAGCTATTGCTCTGTTTGTCCCAAATGGAACAGTAAGAAAATAAAACTGCCTTTTAAAGTCTGATTTTCTAATTTTGGATATATTCCTTACTACTTGTCAGTTACTTCATTCTGCCACTAAGTTCTGGCAGACAACTCATGGAATCTCAGAATTGTAATGGGAGAGGCCTTACTCTTGCAGTCTTGGGGGCCAGATCCAGTCTCCATAACTGTTATCTTAAGCTTAAGATGTTAAAAATTGAACTGACATTGAGAAATCTGGAGGGCTCACAAAATATGCATTCTCCAGCACCTCAGACCCTACCCTTCCCTAAGGTCTCTTAGCAACCCTGCTTCCCTACTTACAGGTCATCTGGTATTTACCTTAGAAGTTCAAAATGTTTGGGCAAACTAGAACTATTTTGCATTTGTTTATTCGCAAGAAGCCAAGCTGAAGTAGGTACAGAGGTGGGTTGAATCTTCATTTTCCTACTCATGGGACTGCAAGTGAGATTTTAGGAATGGCTGGAAACCCCAGCAGTGCTTTCTCATAAAAATGTATTTCCTATTATGCTCTACCACATTGGGCTCACCACTCATTAACAGAACCCTGGCTGGCCCAAAGAAAAGATTGAATAGAAGCTGTTTTGAAACAGAAAAGGAAAAATGGTAATACTATTACTTTCTCATTCATCCTATAGGGTTAACAATGAGCTAGACTACAACACAAATAATAGTTAACTTCACTGTCTGTGTGGGATTCTAGCCCTAGGGGTCATGAAATAATAGGGACAATGGACTTGGTAGGGTGGCCAGGAAAAAACCCAAAAATCTGTTTTCTACTAGCCAGTTGTTTGGCACTAACAGCTAGTCTGATTTCTCCTGGCTAATTTTATCAGGAACCTACGTGGTAATTATAATATTGCACGACTGTACAAACGAAGCACTCCCTTGCTAATCCCCAAATGGTCCTGGTGCCGCATTTTCATGTGCTCTCACAACTAAATTTAAATCTACTCATGACAACAGAGCAAACAAGGGAAGAGTCCAAACTGATCAAAAGGCAGGAAAGTAAAAAAAAAACATAAATGATGCATCTAATTCTAGAAGCAGACTTTTCAAAGAAACCACTGGAACCACTACTTACTCAGAACAAGAACATACAGTATAATTTAGAAGATAAATGTTTTTCTTAATTGCATAGAAAAAATAGACAGAAACATGAAATGTTCTACTTACATACAGAACTGACTATAAAACAGAGTTTGTGTTAAGTATTACAGATTTGCCCTTCTATTTCTCACCAAAAATTGGAGAAAGCAGAATGTTATTCCTTGCATGCTACATGTAAATTTACACAATTTTAGAAACCTCTAGTCAAAATCAAGTCTTAGGGAAAAAAAAAGTCTCTACATACTGAGTGGCCTTCATTAAAGTACAAAATCAGTCACAAGTTGCCTTGTCCTTGCGCTGAGATGAAAGAATGTACAATAAAGAGCAATGTCCCTGCTTATAGATAAGTAGACTATTCCTTGGCAATACAATAGAGTCAACCAGCTTGAATATCCAAAGTTCTGAACAGAGCCAAGAAATTAAGAGCAAACCCACTGGATTCAGCTTGCTTCAACCTGAATACCTGCCTCTCCAAATAATGGCTGTGCACTGTGGCCAAGTCACTTCCTTTATGTTTAAGTTTACTCATCTGAAAAATGGGAAAAAATAGTGCATCCCTCAGTTGGTGAATGAAAGGATCAAAAGAGTTAATTTACATCAAGACCCTAGAATAATGCCTGGGAAAGAGTAAGTATTGTCTGTTTGCTATTATTATTGATGATATGGTTTGGCTGTGTTCCCACCCAAATCTCATCTTAAATTGTAGCTCCCATAATTCCCATGTGTTGTGGGAGGGACCTGGTGGGAGATAACTGAATCATGGGGGTGGTTCCCCCATACTGTTCTTGTGGTAATGAGTAAGTCTCACCAGATCTGATAGTTTTATAAGGGAAAACCCCTTTTGCTTGGTTCTCATTGTCTCTTGTCTGCTGCCATGTAAAACATGCCTTTCACCTTCCACTATGATTGTGAGGCCTCCTCAGCCACATGGAACTGTGAGTCCATTAAACCACTTTTTCTTTATAAATTACCCAGTGTTGGTTATGTCTTTATCAGCAGCATGAAAATAGACTAATACAGTTAATATCAGTTGGTTTTCAGTTATTTTAGAAAACTGAATTGCAGTTTCCTGGGAGTGGTTTTTATTACCTTAAACCTAGAGTGCCTTCACTCTGAAATGTACCTCTTCCCCCAACTCCACCCTCATCCCCATCTTCTTCTGTAAGTTTTTTGTGATCTTCAGATTAGAGAGAAGATCCTAAACTCAAATGTACATCTGGACTAGAAAATGACTGATATTACATAGCATACTGATGGAACTTTCCTTGGCAAGAGTTAGAGTTAGAACCATAGCAACATATATCATTCCGCTCAATTCCCCAGAACCAATAACTCAACATTAGAAATGGAGTGACTAAATTTAAGGAAGAGACTATCCTCTGATGATGGTGCAGAGACAGATGCAGGTCACCACCCTAAGAGTGTGAGGATAGAAATAAGGGAAAAGGTGCAGAGCTTTCAGCTTTTAAGTCAAGTATGATGAAGATCCCACACGTATCCCACAACTTTCCCTATTGCAGATCTGTATGTAGAATCTACAAAGTAAGGAACAAAAAGATGCTACAATTTTCACAAAAAAGACTTGATCTCATCTACCACAGAGAACTTCTGCCCTCAAAGCAGAACTTAAACCGAATACCCCAGGTAATCAAAGGGGCAATAATTCACTTCTGCCCCACTAAAGATAACTCTTGACTTCCACACCACCATTCAATTAGGATATTCCTCTTTGGATTAACAAAGGGCCTAGAGAGGAGGGAAAAGCAAGGAGGACAGGGGAGGGGAAGCTGCCTTCTGCTGCTCTCTGATGAAAGACCTCCTTTTAAATATGCCAATGAAGAGGATTAAGATAAACCTCTAAAAAACACTGGCATGAGGTAACTTGGAACTAAAGATGAAGGGTAACCCTGACCGGCTTTGCAAACACAAAGGAAGAAGCATTCTTACTTCAAAAGGATTTTGAGGTAATAGGCCTAAATATACAAAACCTTGGAAATATATAAAAATGGGATCTACTGGGCAGCTAAAACAGTACAACTCTACAAAAAACAAGGCATTATTTCTGCCATAAAACCTACTAGAAAAAAAACAAGGATTTTGTATAATGTGAACTAAGCACATAAATATTGAAAGAGATTTTTATTTCTTGCCTCCACATTTCTTCTTGAGAAGAAAATGATTGGTATTGGCAAAATGGTCCATGAAGACTCCTGTGAAAGCATAGAAAGTGCTGGAAGATGATGAAATTAGAATAAAGTGGGACATGGAAATGTTTTAAAAAGGGGAACATGATAACTGAATTATTTCAAATGCTAGAATGGAAGTGTCATACAAATAATTCAAAGGTCATTACATCTGTCTTTAGAAAGTACCAATCTTTTTTGCAATAAAATTAACAATTAGTTCCAATAGTAAGATAGCTTTTCACCCCTTAAGAAGTACTAACGAAGAAGGGAGATATTTTAAAGGCATGTTAAATACTAGAGAGAAGCCAGGGCCATGTTTTAAGCCTTCAGGTTCAGATCACATATAACTAGTTGAAATGATATAAATATAAAGATACACACACATATCTGCCTCTTTCACAGCTTATCAATCCCAAGAGAATAAGGGGCTCCTATTGATTTCAGGTCTGGGGATCCCTCCCAGTACAGGTATCAGTTCAGTGGAAATGGGCTATTACTTACATTCTTTGATGAACAAATAAGTCAGTGTCAGCGTAACTGTGTGACCACTGAAGAGGAAGTCTCCACACAAAATATGTGATCCAGTTATGGACAATCCACCACCAGAAATCAATCGCAGAATTCGCTGTACTTTTGCCTGAGAGTCTCCATTAAGCTGAATGACACAAGAAAATTAAGAAGGGAATTTACAAGCAGCTAAAATCATGTTTCAGTCTAATTGTGTGACTCTTAGGTCACCAGGTTGGGATTTTCTTTTTCTTTTTAACTTAAAAATTCAAAAAGAGGATTGAAGAGAGAAGCTCCTTAAACTGGGTTTTATTCATTTATTGGCAAGTTTTATTGACATGTTTTAAATTATTCAATATGTTACTAATAATACGTCTTAGTGGTGGTGTGTCCTTGGGCAAAGCTTTTAAAAATATTAATAACTGATGACTTCACCATAGCTGTGTGCTAAAAAGCAGATCAAAGCTACTTTCTTTCCTTTTTGCAGGGGGAAGTGAGGGTTTTGAATGGTTAATATTTGATTCAGCTGCATACCACATTACCGATATTCTCTACAGTGTATTGGTACCTTGTATTAGGCGGGCAGCCTAAAGTGGACAGATATATAGCTGTATTAATATCTGATCAAAACATTTACAATTAAGAAGAGGAGCTGCAACTCATTAAATAATTTATATAAGTTTGAAAATGATGGATTAGGGATGTACTGGCAGCTTTAAAAATGAGTAGCTTTGATTAGGAAAAACATCCCCTAAAGAAATAGCCTGTGTGCAATGGCAGGAGGCTGAGAGAGTGACTTTGGACAAGGGTGCAGCAGCCCCACAAAGCTACTGTGATGACATGAGAAACAAGCTGGGCTAGGGTAGGGGCCGGAGCTGTGTACCCCATCAAAATCTAATCACACAGGAAGGAGTTAGTTAAAATTGTAGGCATAGAAAATTGGAATACTGAACTATCAAGGGCCTAGATAGGATGGCGGGTTCAGATCGGATGAGTACAGAGCAAATTAGTGGAGAAAATCAAAGAAAAATGTTCAGAAAAAAATCATGTAATAGAATACATGGAAGAGAAATACAGAATGACTTTTTGCTTGTTTGTTTTGAGACAGGGTCTTGCTCTTTCACCCAGGCTGGAGTGCAACAGGTGGTACATTAGGTACAGGAGAGACCAACTTGGCTGCTGCCAAACAGGAAACCTTATCATCTACACTGTTTCTTCCATTAAAAAGATAAGCACCTGAGGTCAGGAGTTGAAGACCAGCCTGACCAACATGGAGAAACCCCGTCTCTACTACGAAAAAAAAAAATTAGCCAGGTATGGTGGTGCATGCCTGTAACATGCCTGTAATCCCAGCTACTCAGGAGGCTGAGGCAAGAGAATCACTTGAACCCAGGAGGCAGAAGGTGCGGTGAGCCAGCATTCCACCATTGCACTCCAGCTTGGGCAACAAGAGTGAAACTCTGTCTCCCAGAGAAAAAAAAAAAAAAAAAAGTCTTTGGCCACTTATGGGCAAGGTGAGGGACAGCTAGCCACAGAAGGCTTTCTCAGGGAAGAGGAGTACTGCTGTCCAGCCAAACATTCTTGTATGTGGAAAAAAATAGGTTTGCAAATCTAAATCATTTCATGTAATCCTTTTACAATAACTGGGCCTACACTTATCTAAACATACTTTGAAGAACACAAATTGTCTGACTGTAAATTAAAGCTTGGGTTGGTGGTTGAAGCAAATTGTAAGCAAAAGGTTAAAAGTGAACCACAGGATACATAAGGAAGAAGGCAATTGGAAAATTATGAAAGTAAAGCTTTCACTTTGATGGCTCTTGTGAGCATGCCTGGTGAGTTAAAAGTTGTACAGGCATCAATTACTATAACAGATATGACACTTCCACAGTGAGTGGCTTCTATATACAAAGTTCCGCCATTGCTTATAGTCATGAAGGATATTCTGTAGAGGCAGCAACACAGGACACAATTAGATTATCTAATAGCTTCATAACCATAAAAATCTAAGCAGCACTCAAAGCCAGCAGATGAACTAAATTTAGAACACAACTCAGACGCCTGTTCTGTAACACTACCTCACCTCTAGTCAAACTAAGTCATTTGTGTTTGTTTTACTGAACCATGATTCAGGCATATATGGATTGCTTATGCTTCAGGAAGAGGTCCTGACAAGTAAACCTGGCAGATGATTAGTAAAGATGTTACCGGAGGTTCCACTATTACTATTTGTAGCTTGGCTATCCATTGGCACTGATGTGGCTTCCAAGACTGCAACTCTTCCATGAAGGACAATCTTTAATTTGCTTTCTTTCTGTAATCATAGCAATTCATCCCTGCAAACCTCAGACGTTACTATGATGGACTTGACTTCCTTTCTGTGGCCATTTCTCCATTTAACACATTGCAATAGCCCCTTAGAAGTGTTTATTACACTTCTGAACTTCTCCCACGTCTTAAATTAGCTTCACTAAAAATCAGCCAGTGTTTAAATTCAATATGTACACTGTTTTAATTACAGATATTTTCTGCTTTGATGGCTTTGGAAAAGTATAGCTTCTCCAAACCACACCTATATTTGGTGAGGGAGACTGTGGAGACTGTGGACGTCTTCAGAGAAGCTCTATTTTTCTTTCACCTCAGACATCTGGTTAGTGTTCAGTAAAATATGATGTTAGACTTCATTCCTTTGTCCAGAAAGCACATGATTTGTAATTTTCCACTTTATAAACCAAGGTGCACTGGAGTCTGAGATGATTACAGCTCTCTCAAGAACTCGACCTGAAGAAACTGTAATTCCTGCTTAGGATGGTTTCAGAAAATATTCTCACAAACTATCTCAGTCAAAGGCCACTCTATCTTTCCAGCTGCTAAAAACCTTGAGGTCATCCTTGACTTCTTTCTCTCAAACCCATATCCAACTTATTAGCATATCCTATATCCCGACCTGAACAACTTCTCATTATTTCCACTGCCACCACTAAGGCTGAAGTTCCTATACTGGGCTGCAAGACCCTATATGATCTGTGGTCTGCATACCTCCACCCTTCACAACTCCACTCAGACACATTGGCCTCCCGACTCTTCCTTTAACCCACTGTAAATAAGCAATATTTTATCCTGGAGCTCTCATCTCACCCACATGGCTCACTTTGTCTTGGTTCCTGCCCAAATGCTTTGTGATTAAAGAAGCCCTTCCTGACCTCTATATCAAATAGTTCCTACCCTCAAGCACCCTCTCACCTTACTCAGCTCTGCTGTTTTCCATCTGACAATCACTGATTTATCATCATATGACAAATTATGAATTTGTTTATAATTTGTCATCCCTCAGTAGAATTTAAGCTCCAGAAGAGGGACTTTGTTTTGGTTACCAAAATCCCTGGTACACAAGCTTAATGCTTGTAAAATGAATACATTAATGAATAAATAAATGAGAAGGTAAAAACGCAGAGTTGAACCCCAATGGTGATTTTCAGTTAGTAGACAATAAATTTTTTTAGCACCAAAGATATTTATTTTATAAATACATTTTAATTTCTTCCCCTCAAATCTAAATAGAAAATAGAAAAGATGCTAAATTTCAGTTAATGCATAAGAAGTGTCTAAAAGAATGTATAATAGAGAATAGGTCAATAAAAAAATAAAATTAAAAGAAAAAAATAAAAGAAAAAAAATAGAGGATAGGTGTTCGATAACTGTTTTCCTGATTCCTTCTAAGTGGTAATTTGGAGGTTCTTACCTTTGGAGCACACTGGAAATGCATTCCAGGCACAGGTAGAGTAGTTACATACATTGTAATGCAGCGATACAGGTATAAAGTTCCAATAATAAAAAAGAATCTGCGCCCCACTATTGACCTAAAGGAAAAAATATGGATGGGGAAAAACAAGTTTATTGGTTGTTTTAATTCCTAATGCAAAATAAAACAATGTTTAACAGGATAAAGAATAATCAGTACAGAATGGCATTAACAAACAAACCACAGTTTCACAGAGTTTAAAGGCTTATTTGTAAGTTGCCCATCCCTACAGTTCCATGGAGAGATTGCACCAGTTTTCAGAAATGAAGATTCACATACTGCAATAAATTAGGTGGTTTGGCTTCCAAAGGACACATGTGTGTGTGTGTGTAGTGGGGGAACTAAAGTAGACAAAGAGTCTACTTATGTAGACCTTTTCTCAAAGTCACTTTTTGCCAGAGAATTCAATGAAGCTGTCTATATTTTCAGTCAACTCATTGCATTAATAAAAACCTCTCTTGAGAACATAAGAAAGGAATAAGCAAGCCACAGTAACAGAGGAATTAACTAATGAGCCAAGGTGACATTACATAATTGGACACATAGGGAAATGTGACAATCTAACCCATCGTATATAAGCAGGGTTTATTTGAGGACCATCCGAAGGTATTCTGACAACACAGGCATGAACTATTTTCTCTATGACTAAATAGATTTTCAAAAAACTCTATCTTGAAAATGTTCAAAGTGTCCTCATACAGTTAATTACATTTAATAGTGAAGTTGTAAGCTGACTGATTTATTTTATTTTATCTTGATCAATAAAAGGGCAAAAAAAAATTCCCACAAGTCCTTTTTCACTTTATATTTCTGTGGGAAGAAAGCTGTCTTAACTAACATTAGTCTCTGTGCTTCACACCCTGGGTCCTCAGCCTAACACAGGCTTCCAAGTAGATGACTGAGGATCCTGTCTTCAAAATGGAAGGGCTCTGCCATTGTACCACTGCCTAATGGATGTATCTGAATGGGCATCATAGGTCTGAATGTCCTCAGTCCAGCTGAAAAGGACAGCTCCCTTTCTGTTATATAGTGAGGTCTATAAGCTCTGGGCTCTGGGATTAAGAGATGAGTGGGACTCCACATAAAGCCCCTAGACTTGCTAGGTGTAACTTCCTTAGTACATAAAACATATTACTCTAGGTCTTTCATTTTTAGAGCTCTCAAGCTTCCAAGACTGGTAGTGATCAAAGACTTCTGGAAAAACAGGCAGTGTCAGGTAATGTGACATATTTTAAGTTTTCCCTAAGACTGTGGTTCTGACATGAATCAAGGTCTAATTCAGGTAACATTTGGAACTTCTAATTTGAAGAACTATGTATAAATACATATTTTAACTGTCTGTTCCCAGCAGCTATTTTAAGAATATTTCAGGGTTTCTGGGGTCAAAAAAAAAAATAGAAGGGGACACCACCTAGACTGGTAGATGACAGTATTGGTTTATCCCAAGGCATTTCCTTAAAGGCTTGCTATTCTAGCTCTGCCTTTCCTGGTACTGAAAAGGAGCAGGTAATAAACAGTGCTGAGTTTCTCCCCCTGGTTAAGGGAAAACTGATTCAGCCTTTGATTCAACCCCAGGTTCCAAAAGAGTGCTGTTTTGAATTGTGCTCCATGCTGTTAGACAAGGTGAATAAGCAGAAATTATTGTGAGTCAATTACATTAATTCCAGCATTCTGAGTTCAGCTGTACTCAGAACTGAAAACTAACTTAGAAGGTAAAGATGTACTTTACAGCCTTATTTAGAAAAAGAACTAGTGCTAATGATTTTTCCCATAGGTTTGAAAGGTTTTAAAAGAGAGAGAGAACAAGCAAGATTTCTCATTCAGCTGGGATGTTCAAAACAGGTTATAAAAATTATTCCACTAGTTACTAAAATGTAAGATCCAATTCTACTTCAAACATAAAAAGGCAAATGTGTGTGAATTGTGACTGAAATAGTGGATATCATGAAAATGTATGGTCTGGCTATGTGACCATGTGTTTTGACATGTTGAAACCTAGGGTGGTTAAGTAGAGGCAGTTAACAATAACTATCTAATGAAAATTCAAAAAGTATCTAGATGAAAATATAAACTGAGGGAAAGATTGTACTTCAGGATGGAGTCCAGATACTTACCAGACCCTGGACAATTTCTCTTTTCACACACATATCAATAAAACTTTGCTCTAAATAAAGGAGAAAGCAAATATCTGCGGCCTTAGCAGGCTCTCTTACATTGTGTCAATTTCCAGACACTAAAAAGAAAAACACTAAAGTTCATAAATACATTCTTTGCTTTTAGCATAAAGCATTCTTTAACAATTTCAGAAGCAGGTTACTTCTACTAAGTAAAAGAACTGATAGCTAGATCTATTAAGCATACTAAGGAAACATATGAAGAGTTCTATTAAGGAAAATGCTTAGGAATGACTGCAGTTTGTGAAATAAGGTTTTAAGACTGCAAAGTTGCATTTGGGGAACTCTTTAACAAAAACAGACTGAATTTGTCTAATCATAAAACAGTAGCAATGCTAGGGTCTGAGTGCATATACCACATTGAGAGTCCTGTAACTGATCATGTAATGAAAAGTGTTACCAACTGAAAACGATACAGAATAAATTGTTTCTTCTAAAGATCTTCTGGCATTAATACTGAAATCCTATTTGACTTGGAACCTTCATATTGTAGCCAAACTAGCATACATTACATTTTTAAACTCCGTATTATGGTCAGTGTTTTGATCAAAATCATATTTTAGTGATTTAATCACTAGCATTCCAGTAGAAAACAAACATCTAAATGATGAATGAGAGGCTCCTTGGAATTAAGGAGACTTCATTTTTATGGACTAGAAGTCAGAATTCACATAGAGAAGCAGAAATAACCACTTCGGGGTGATGTCCAATTATTAAGTGTCTTCAAAGCAAAAGTACCTGGCTTATTTCTTCTTGATTCCCTACTATTTCAAAAATAAGGAGGCTGAACCCAGTGAACTGTGAGCTCCTTTGCGGTGACCAAAGGAAATCAGAGGGTAAGTTTACCTTAGAAATCTAAAAATCAAAACCACATGGATACCGTTCTAAACTCGGTTTCTTAAACTCTTGTAACTAGATAGCAAACAAACAGCAAACTGAAACCACACCCACACCCCCAACCCCACAGAAATATAAAATTTGAGAACCGAATCCAGGTAAACCTTACAGCAGACTACTGACTCTACACCAATAGAGACATCACATCACGAGTAATGGAGAAAAAAGTTTCTCAACCTATTCCTTTTCCCACCTGTCAAGAGCCTGAAATAACATAAGCATGATAGAAGTGAGTGTTATTCCTTTCCAAGCCTCTCGATTTATCATACAAATACCACAGCACCAAGTTGCTGGAAGTGAGGAACTGCACCTTAAATTCATAAACTCTGAGTCACCCACCATAGCACTGCTGTACACAGCCACTTTCATACACAGTTACTCAACAAACACTTACTGAATAGTGACTTAGTTTACTCAGTGTGGTAGAGCTTTCTACTGCTTTTTTATCATCAAATATTTGGATAAGACTGAATTTACTGGAGAAAATGGAAAAATAATCTCAATTACCCATCTATTCACTTAAAAACAAACCAATGGCAAATCCCCAACACATATTAGATTTACTTACTTGTATCTCAGAAACAGCCACTGGGTGATCCATAATCCAAATAATACAATTCCATTTATTTCTGATACAGAAAATGCCCATTTTACCCTATCAATGTAATCAAAAAACTTGTCTGGGAGTGGAGGGCTAAGCTCCTTGGGAGGGACCCTCTCATGTACAACTGTGATCATGACGGTTGTCAAGACAAGGTTGAAAGCCGCATAGATGAAGGCAATGCCCGTTTTCCACCACTCTAGTGGAAATTTGTTCCTCGATTCGGTGGGCATAGCAATTTGGATATAGTCTGGGTACTTTTTGGTGCCTTTTCGCAGTCCACTGGATAAGCTCTTGGGTTTACCATTGCCATTTTTGTCTTCTTCTTCAACAGGTTCAGCCGGTCTTGTGTAAGTGCTCGTAGCTTCACTGGTTTGATTTTCCAAATGTTCTTCAAGTTTTGCTGTCTCTATGATATCCATTGTCCCCTAGTCTTCAGATCAAAAAGGAGATGGTCAAGTTCTTGTTCTTTGTAGAAATTTAGCTATTTTTCAATCCTTCTATTTCCAAGATCAACATGGACTCTTACAATGGACTTTGTTTCCTAATACAAAATGTAGAAGGTAGCCATCCAATTACTGTTCCTTCCATGCAGTTATCTGCTGTACCTTCACCACTTTCAAGAAAGGAAGCCAATTCTTCCCCCAAAAAGATGTTACTATCCCACCTAAAAGCAAAACAAAATTAGGTTCAGAAACTTTGCTTGTCCAATTGTCAACCATCCAAAACAAAAACATTCTCAAAATAAGGAAACTAATACCAAAGCCATTTGTTTTACAAACATAACATCAGAACCTACTTAAAGCTGCTGAGATCAAGTTTATTTACAAAATACTGCTTTATTTTGGAATTTGTCTCTTTTTGAACTAGTATCGGTAGAATTAGGAACATTTTAACAATTTCCTTAAAAATCAGGACCCAACATTGCAAACATTTCATCAGACACTATCACTTGTTGCTAACCATGAAGTCATAATAAGCTGGAAGTCACATCAAGCCTTCCAAGACTGTATTTCTATAAGCCATAAAGAAAGAATAAAAACTGGTAACTCACTTACATGCACTGAATAATTGTTACTCTCTGTGTTTGTCAAAATAGTCAATTTTCTAATTAAAAAATAGAAGCCTTTTTAAGTGACCACTTTTAAGAATATATTCAAGTACAATACATTCAAAATACTTAAAATGACACAGCCTCAGTTTATCCTTTTATATTCAGAGAACCACACCATATACAAGCAAAGCTGGCAGCCTTCAAAATAACTCTGAAAAGATACACCAAGCCTTAGCTATGTCTCTTACGTAGGTAACAAGTAGAATTTATTTGAAGGACAAAATACCTCACTACCATTGACATGATAAATTAGTAACTAGCATTTTGATGCAACCAATTTCTACCTAACAATAGAAACGGGCCTCCAGAGGACCAGCTCAGGGGACTCACCCACCACGACACCAATGAGGATGACTACCTTCAGCTTCAGTTCTACAGGCTCCAGAGAGCGCAGATTTCTTTAGGACACAGCACCACTGCCACCTCTTTTATACTTGCTAGCACACGGCCCCAGCTGTTTTCAATTTAGGAAAGCAGTCTTTTAGTCCTGCTACAGAAGCCAGCCACCTGATGAGGTTTTCAAACCTTGTAATTATTCCCCTCCCTGGATACACTGCTCAACTTAAGTACAATCCGCTGCATTTTAAAGGCCTCCCCTTTCAGGGTAACTTCAGGGAAAACTGAAGAGGACAAACTCAAAGTGATGACAGCTAAGCCTTTACTTATAATGAAAGAAAAAGAAAAAAAAAACAGTGAAAATGGCACAGTCAATCTGTACAGGCAATGTCTGTTTATAATTATGGGTGGCAAACAGATAAACCACAAGTGTTTACTGTGCACCTAAATGTCCCAATGCTGAGGGCTATGTAGGGGAAATTAAAAGGAGTGAAAAACATCTGACCTGAACATGCAGCCAAAGAGCTTGCAGTCTAACCAAAGAAATAGGACTAAAACGATGAAAGACTACTGGAGAAGACCGAATGGTATATTGTGAAAGGAAGGAAAGGGATGAGCTAACCAACAGATAAAATGAGAGGTTGAATTGTACTGTTTCCCTGCTCCCGGGACAAGACGTATCCACACACAGGCTCTGTTTCTGAGAAAGCAAAAACATGTGGAAAGCTGACCCGGTAGAGAAATGGGGGCTCAAGGGAACATGAGACCAGCTAAAAGGTACTACTGGGAATTATGAACACCTCACCTTTCTCTTGTCCTTCTGCAGAGTCCCCAGCTATTAGTAGATTACAGCAGGATGAGAAAGGCCCAATGGCCCTCTGGCTTGACAGTGTCTTGGTACAATGTTGTAGGAAGAATAAGCACAATGTAGAGGTGCCTCAGGAAGATATTTTCAACAACAAACCTTCAACATCATGAACTACTACTTTTAATGGCGGTCGGAAGCACTAACGCAGCCATTTCCTGTTTCTCTTTAGCAGCCTTGCCTAATCCACTTACAGCATCTTGCCAAACCATCATCCAAATCCCCTTCCACTTTACTCTTCCATATGTGCTTCTACTCTTGTGTTCATGTGTGAAAGAAGCTTGAGATTTTGCAACTCCATTTCACAGTGGATGTACAGATAGTCTTTACAAGGTAGCTACTCAGTTCTAGAACACAGAATGTGGAACAGAAGAAAATCCAATTAGTAACCTTTTTTCTTCCTAAGAGGAAACACTCAGCCACCCACCTCTTGGGACTGCTGAGAGAATGACTGAAATAATTAATTGTGAAGAGCTTTGTGCCCCTGAGAGTAAGAACACTATGTGAGTACAATGCCCATTTATCATCATTAGCATTAAAATTAATATTTTCCTTGGGATTTGATTAAGATTACATATACACAGCACATTCATCATGTGTCAACGACTCTTGGGATGAAATGTTTGTCATCAAGATAATGATCACAACATACTCATTCCAACTGTGAAAGGAAAATATCTCAGGGCCCCAAAATCACTAAGCTAAAGGGAAAAGTCAAGGTGTGAACTGCTTAGGGCAAACCTGCCTCCCATTCTATCCAAAGTCACACATCTGCTCAGTGAGATAAATGCATATCTGATCGCCTCCTTTGGAGAGGCTAATGAGAAACCCAAAATCATGCAACCATCTATCTTTGTTCTACCCTTTGACCTAGAAGCCCCCTTCCCGCCTTGAGTTGTCCTGCCTTTCGGAGCAAACCAATGTTCATCTTACATATGATTAGTGTCTCATGTCCCCCTAAAATGTATAAAACCAAACAAACTGTGCTGTGACCACCTTGGGCACATGTCTTCAAGGACCTCCTGAGGCTGTGTCATGGGTGTGCGTCCTCAACACTGGCAAAATAAACTTTTTAAATTAACTGAGGCCTCAGATTTTCAGGGTTCACATTTTAGTAACCACAGAGGGATTCTGAATGGAGGTGCCCCTAACCTTTGACAAATCTCCTATCAGTGGTTGGTTCAACCTTGAGCTATCTTTATGACTCAAACCAATAGGACAATTTGCTGAGGCCTAGAAGCACTCATTCCAGAGAATCACTGATCTCCCCAACTTTGGTCGGGATTTAAAGTTTATTTTGCCATACAACTTCTTTTTTTGGAGTTTTACTTGCTTCCAACACAAGGAAGGCAAGTTTTTCCTGCTTCCATGATGATGGGAGACAAGTACTCCTTTATGGAGTTTCCCTTTCAACAGGAAAGATGAGGTGTTTTTTTTTTTCACCTGCTCCTAGTGACACAGGAGATAGAAGTTACTTAGGCAGATAGTGAGGGTAAAAATCCTTGTCAAGGCTTCCCTTCTAACAGAAAGCAGCCCGAGAAACTTTTTTTTTTTCCTGAAGACTACAGCTGCAAACACAGATAAGCAAGCTGGAAGCTTGCACAGGTTAATGCTGGCAGCTGTGCCAATACAAAATGGCTACCTGGGGGTCAGGTATGTTCAACATGGAGGCTCCATCTTCCCTTTTGTCACCATGTGTACAGTAAAGAAATAGGCAGCATGGTGCTGGCCAGGTAGAGAATCCATATGCATAATAAAAGATTAGGGTGGGGCAGCCAGCTTTTTGCACCCTATGCAAACGGCACACCTGGTCTGACCAATCTTTCATGCCCTATGAAAATCAAACACCACCTCCTCAAGCTCATCTATAAAACCTCCTGCATTTCACTGAGGAAGGAGAAACCCTTTTGGGACCCCTCTCTCTGCAGGGGAGAGCTCTTCTCTTTGTTTTGCCTATTAATCCTCCACTTTTAACCTCACTCCTTGTGTGTCCACATCCTTGATTTCCTTCACATGAGACAATGAACTTTGGATATCACCCAGACAACAAGGCTGCTTCACTAGGATGATAGAGAGCAGTCTTCAGCCTGAGACCCACCCCTAGATAACTAACTGAATTGAGGTCTGTCTTGGCTCAAGTTAAAATTAACAACCAGCTGGTCTTAATGTCTCCTTACCATTAGAGTGCAGAGTCATCATAGAAGTTGTGCAATCATTTGGTTTCTTTAACTGGTTTTGTTGTTGTTTCTGTTTTTGTTGTTGTTTTAGTCTTTTTCCCATTGGGTTTGACCAACTCTATCTGACTTTATCAAATCTGAAAGAGAGCTCCAAATTATGGGAAACAAGGTCTCTGAAGTGGCTAAATTCCCATAGGCACACACAAAAAAGGCAATGTGGCATGGTGGTATAGTGGAGGAAGAAAAACAGCCAGCAAAAGAAGAGAAAAAAAAAAAGGAAAGACTTCTGATTTTGACTATTTAAGGGGCTTTATTTACGTAACAAGGCCACCTTTTTGCTAGCCAGGTCAAACTGAAAGTAATGGCTGTCACCCCACACTGCAATTCAATAGGTAAGCTCCTGCTTTTTCCACCATGACAGCCTGGGTTTCGGTTCCTAAATCAAGCCCTTTCTGGTTTGATACTTGGTACTTCTGAAATAGTGGCAATTTGTCCTAGTTCATGAAATATGGAAATGAGATTTAAAGAGTTTTTTTTTTTTAAAGGAACACAATGGTTAAAGTCAGCTTAATTAAAAGCTACCACATCCAAGATATGTTTCTGTACGTATGCATCTGTTTGTATTTTAAAGGCCGTTATGTTTTTCTTTTTTCTCTCCTAGGACTTTCTCCTTTTTTTTGAGATGGAGTCTTGCTCTGTTGCCCAGGCTGGAGTGCAGTGGCATGATCTTGGCTCACTGCAACCTTCGCCTCCTGGGTTCAAGCGATTCTCCTGCCTCAGTTTTCCAAGTAGCTAGGATTATACAGGCATGTACCCACCACACCTGGCTAATTTTTGTATTTTTAGTAGAGATGGGGTTTTGCCATGTTGGCCAGGCTGGTCTTGAACTCCTGACCTCAGCTGATCCACCTGCCTCAGCCTCCCAAAATGCTGGGATTATAAGCATGAGCCACTGTGCCCAGCCCTCCCCCCTTTTTTTGAGCAAGTTTTTTTCTTTTCAGTTGACTGGATTCTGTTTACTTCATTTACTTCTGCTTTCTCTCCTTTCTTTTCCAACCTCTGCTGCATGAGGGACCTAACACAGTTTATAATAGCCTGGGATTCCTTAAAGAAAATGGGGCCGGGCGTGGTGGCTCACGCCTGTAATACCAGCACTTTGGGAGGCCGAGGCGGGTGGATCACGAGGTCAAGAGATCGAGACCATCCTGGTCAACATGGTGAAACCCCATCTCTACTAAAAATACAAAAAATTAGCTGGGCATGGTGGTGCACGCCTGTAATCCCAGCTACTTGGGAGGGTGAGGCAGGAGAATTGCCTGCACCCAGGAGGTGGAGATTGCGGTGAGCCGAGATCACGCCATTGCACTCCAGCCTGGGTAACAAGAGTGAAACTCCATCTCAAAAAAAAAAAAGGAAAATGGAGAAGGCCGCAAACTCCCTTTCAGGGAGAAACCTGTTTCTCCTTATGAAACCAGAAGAGTGTAAACAGACAAGTTCATTTCAGCTTTTAAACTGCTTTTGTATTGTTATCTGATTTACTGACTAAAATAGTAATTGCAACAGAGGCTACTCTTGGGTTTTTAAAGAAGAGTGTAGTTTAGACACTTAGAAATGTCTTTGTTTAAAAATTTTTTTACTAAGTGCACCATAAAAACATCACATGGTCTAGCCTCATAAATAATCTCAGGATTCAATGTGGGCTCTGCCCAGAGCTCAGACATCTGGTTTAAAAATAGGTAGTGCCTATCTAAATAAAATTTGTCTCCTTACACAATCCTATGATAGATTTTTATAATTTGATGTTAGATTTGGCATCCATCTTTAATCTCCCTCTAGCACAACAGACTTTTTCTTTCTGAATCTTATGATGTAAATTTTGCTATTTGATTTTTGCCTGAGTTGTTTCCTTTAATATGCAAATTTAAGGCTATTTAACTGAAAGCTATCTAAGGTTGTGAAACAGGTTATCTAGAACCTGAAAGTTTAGGGTAGGGGGAAAAAAAGTGTTCTGTGAATCTCTAAGATGTATTTCTATCAGCATGCCTAATATGTCTATGCATTTATATGTTTTGTACACATTGTTTCACTACTGAAAATATATTAAAAAGCTCTAATTAATTGGCTTAAAGAAAAATAAAAGCATTTGAATCAAATAGTTTATCATGAAAAAAGAAGAGACTAGTCCAGTGGTTTTTCAAGTTTATGTAACTTAAGTGTAATCTTCAATAAATAAGCTTGCTTTAAAATTATTGGTAAAGTAATATTAGAAATGTCTTAAGAATTGCCAGCATACATTCTTGTTTGCATTTATTAATCAAGCAATTTCATACTTATCCCTGCCAAATACTACAAGGTGTCAAAATTTGACATGGGGGTTATAAAACTATGAGCCCAACCCAAAGCAGAATGAATTTCCTTGTGTAACCTTTAATAAATAAGACATTTATATTGGTTTAATAAAAGATAGCTACATCTTGAATTTAGTAAGATTACCATAACTTCTAATTTTGTGGCTTTGTGCAGTTTAGTTCACAGGCAGTGAGGTTTGTTTTGAGAAAGGGCTGTTACTGTCTTTGTTTCAAAGTTAAACTATAAGCTAAAGTCCCAAAGTTAGTTTGGCCTATGCCCAGGAATGAACAAGGACAGCTTGGAGGTTAAATACAAGATGGAGTCAGTTAGGTCAAATCTTTTTCACTGTTTCAGTTATAGTGAACCACACAATGGTGGTTCCAAAACTTTAAATGATTATTGCAGTTTTCATAAATAATCTAAGTAAACAATCAAAATAAAATAATTAGGTAAATGAAATGGGATACTTGTAGACAAACATTTAGAATTTAAAGTTATATCAAATTTAATCAAATTAAATCATAGATATTTCATTATTTGAGTATATTCCTATAAAAATATATTTGTAGGAAAACATACTTTCTTAAAAAAAAAGTGGCTTTTAAAAAAAGTGAACAATTTTGCTTATTTAAAGGTCATGTATAAAATAAAGTAAAAGGAACCAGGAAATAAGAGAGATGTAGAGAACATTATAAAAAGGGTTTTTGTTTTTTGGTAAGAAAGCTTAAAGAGAAATAATTTTTTATGGGAAATAATCTTGTATGAGATTCTTCACATGAGAAAGAATTTAGTCTTAGAATAGAATGACTGGTTGTTTAGGAAAGAGGGATGTTCTGGACAAACCAGAAAGTCCAAGCATGTCATGAACAGTCTATGTAAGTCACAATACAAGGATTAAAAAAAACTTATATAATCAGGTTGTCATATTATTAAATTTTGGTTTGCTTAGGAAAAAACTGAGATTAAAAGGGTTTTTTTTTAAATTAAGGTTATTACATCTATGTATCTCTGTATGAGCTTTTAAAGTACTTGCGACATTGAGTTACAGGGCTTTGACTCTTGTGTCTAAAAGAGACACCAAGTCCTGTTTAAATTTATCAGTTAAACACTGATGGTAATTAAACCCCATCCTCAGGCCCAGTAGAAGATGACAATCAAAATAAACTGCATTCCTGAGACACTGGGCCAGAAATTAAAGCTATTTAACTCCTAAAGATCCATGAACTATCAAGGAAGAGATGTGAGTATATGAGACTGCAGGAGCTGATTTTTAGAGATAAAATCAGTTGTTTCCTTATAAAGTAATCATCAATATCAAAGACACACTGATACAAGACCAGCATATGGGCCCTTGTGTCTGATTAACAAGGCTTTCTTGAAGCATTAACTGACTGCTTAATAAAGTTATAAAAGGTTTATGCAAGTTTTATCTTATAGTCAAGATTAAAACTTTATAGTATACAAAATTTTGAAAATCAAATTTAATTGGCTTCATTCTGTTTTTACTAGGGCTTATTGTTGGGAAAATTAAGTCTCCTCTCTCAAAGAACGAAGGTTTTGCCTTTTTAAAAAATCCAGTGTTATCACTTTGGTTAAATGAAATGACTCATTTTACAATGACTTGTGATATCAAGTGTTTTAAAATTTTGACAACTTTCCAAATCAAATTATAAATTATGTCTTTTTCATACCAAATTAATCCTTTAAGATATTAGGTTCCCTAAAGTCCAAAAATGTCATATTTGGCTTTGGTATAAAAATTATACTGAAAGTCAAATATAAAATGGTGTTTGGTTTTCTTTGGGCTGTTTTTGTATAAATATGTTATTGGGATGTGTTCTAAAATTATGGGTAACTTCCATAATTCTGATATGACTTAATGTACATTATCAGTAATAATTACAATTGTTATGTTAATTTATAAGTGTGCCACAGAGGTAACAAATTTCCTTATCAATTGTGTCTTTTACTATGGCTGCCCTAAAATTTTTCGTAATCTACTGACAATTGTTGTCTTGTTTTGGTCCTCTTTAGAAGGAGGTTTTATAATCAACTGTAAAACTCTTACAGGTGCTCCTGAGTGCAGGTTTCTAATAACTTTGGAAACTGTTATATCAGAATAGAGGAAAAACTTTCAGGACTCATAGAGAGCTGAAATGTTCATGAATATCAAGCAGAACAGGAATTAACTGCATGGATGAAATTAATGGAAGTCTGAAGTAATCTTTTTAACTTTGTTTAAAACCTGCTGATCCTTTGGTTTGTTTTTCAGAGTCAGGAAAACTTTCCTTTTAAGCTATTTACTGCTTTTAACAATTGAGTAAAGTATACTCTGATGAACAAAATTTGGAGCATATTTGTTTTCTATCTGATTTCTCCAGAATTTGGAAACTATTTGTGAGTATTCTTACGGCCATACAGTTATTTTCATAAGTGCAATAAGAATTTGTTTTCATTTATAAAAGGACACAACTGGAGAAACTGGTTATTTTACCAAGGCTTTGGCTGGATTAGTGTGCTTTCCTTTCAAGAATTAAACTTGACTTACAGAGCAATAAAAGGACTTTGGGAAAACTAGCTTCATACTGTTTACACAGTCCATGTACAGGGTCCTGAACTGTGGTAAGTAAAGAATCCTAGGTGTTCCAAGTTTTATCTTGGAAACTCAAGAGGAGAGAATCACCCAATTCATAGGTATTTGATGACACAAATCCATGACTGGGCTTGGTTTTAAAAAAGTTTTATCTGAGATTCCTTCTATGGGTGTGGTGGCTCATACCTGTAATTTCAGTACTTTGGGAAACCAAGACAAGAAGTCACTAGTGCCTAGAAGTTCGAAACTTGTCTGGGCAATGTGGCAAAACACCGTGTTTACAAAAAAATACAAAACATTAGCTGGGTATGGTGGTGCACCTGTCGTCCCAGTTACTTGGGAGGCTGAGGTTGGAGGACCGCTTGAGCCCAAGAGGTTGAGACTGCAGTGAGTGGTGACTACCCCACTGCATTCCAGCCTGGATGATGGAATGAGAACCTATCTCAAGGAAAAAAAAAGTTGCTGTTACCCAATATTAGTTATGTAATGTAGGCTAGTAATATAAACCTGCTGCCACCATTTTTACTGTCTGATGAACTTTAGAATCATTTTGTCAGATGACAGAAAAAATCCTATTGGCAGTATTAAAAGGAAATAACTCAAAGTATATATTAATATGGCAACATCAAATCTTTACTGGTATAATATCTCAGCTTCCCACCTATGAATACTGTATAGCTTTATGCTTGCATTTATCCACCTTAGCTAATTTTTATAGCTTTCTTTGTATAAGTTCTGAACATCTATTTTAATTATTAGGACTTGAGGCCATTTTTGTCGTTGTGGTAGTGGCTACATCAGTAATCAACAGTCAAGTATGTTACCATATTTGTATTAGGTTTTTTAACTAGTTATTACTGATTCTATAATGATATTTTGTTTTTAATTTGTGAACAAAACCTAAACTTCCAGTTGAATATTGTATGTTTTAGTTATTTTTACATATATATTTCTTTTTTGCCGTTTTAGTCATTACCTGCTTGTTTTCTTTTTATTGTCTTGGCTTAATTGGCTAGAGCAATGTTAAATAGTAGAGATGCAGAAGTAAAACATGGAAGCACAATGGTGTTTTCTTGTAATTTCACAAAAAGATTCTAAAGCTCATTTAGGAGTGAAAGTGAATGCAGCAGAAGACTTTTCCCACTAGGTATTAGAATATATATTACATAGCTAAAATGGTGTTATATTGACATTAAAAGAGCCTATCTATACATACTTCTATTAAAATAAAATGCTGAATATTTTTCCCTTGCAATATCAATTGGATATTGAGTTTTACCAAATGCCATTTTGGCTTCACTCCAGATAATGCTCTTTTCCTTGTACACGTTTGTGATATATTTTATTACAATCATTTTCTCATTTTAAATCTTCTTACATTTCTGGAATAAATCGTTTTTTTTTTTTAAAAAAAAGTAACAAAACACTAGCAGTGTACCGTAAGGTTCAGAGTTTGGCATTTGCATTTTAAAGGGAGATGAATCTATAGAGATCTTCAACTTGTTCAGTATTATCTAGTTTAACTTCCAGTATGTTGCAATGTAAGAGGACTCAGAAGATTTGGCATCTGCTTTGTACTTTGGCATAGTACCCTAAACAAATGAGCTAATGGAATTGCCATCCACTGAGAGAGGAACTATTGTGGCTTCTGTCGCTTTCCCAGACACTGGTAAGAAAGGATGACTATAGTGTGAACCCTGAAAACCTGAGACAGGTCTCAGTTAATTCATTAAGTTTATTTTGCCAAAGTTGAGGATGCACACCCATGACACAGCCTCAGGAGGTCCTGACGACATGTGCCCAAGGTGGTCAGAACACACTTTGGTTTTACGCATTTTAGGGAAACATGAGACATCAATCAACATAGGTAAAATGAACATTGGTTTGGTCTAGAAAGGCGAGACAACTCAAAGCGGGGAAGGGGCTTCCAGGTTATAAGCAGATAAGAGACAAATGGTTGCATTCTTTTGGGTTTTTGATTAGCCTCTTCAAAGGAGGTAATCAGATATGCATTGATCTCAGTGAGTAGAGGGGTGACTGAATAAAATGGAAAGCAGGTTTGCCCTAAGCAGGTCCCAGCTTGACTTTTCCCTTTAGCTTAGTGATTTTTGGGGCCCCAAGATATTTTCATTTCACATTTCCCCACTTTTGTTTTTAAAAATCTTTTGAAGAAAGCATTTTAGAAGAAAAAGTCTCTGG